CAAGAAAAGGCCCCTGCCACAATTAAGATGGGTATCCACGAGCAGGGACGTGGTGTGCGGTTTTAATCCCCAGCACTCGGGAGGCTGAGGCAAGTGGAACTGTATGTGTTCAAGGCTAGACTGGTCTACACAAGGAGTTCCAGGCCAGCCAGGGATACATAATGAAACCCTGTATCAAAAACAAACAAACCAAAAAAGTCAGGTTTTCCATATCAATTAAGATAATAAAGAGAATCTTCCAGAGCCCACCTTCTGCTTTTAGACGTCATCAAGCAATCATTATGCTGGCCTACCCCTGTCACCTGGCAGAATGCACTCAGGCAGCACCCTGGTCATGACTGTGAAGTCTGCATGCAGATGCTAAGGACCCCTTTAAAAGAAAGACCCCCGCCCACTTACACTCGCTTTCCTGCTGTTCCCTTAGAGCAGACAGGACTTTTCCTGTCTCCCTCCTCTTTTCTGTCGTCTCTCTGTCTCTGTGTCTCTTTGCCTCTTTTCTCTTCCTTCCCCCTCCCTCCCCTTTCTAATAAAACTTCTCACTTGAGCTCTGTCTGCCTGGCGTGTTTGTCCCCCACCTGGGTCAACTTCGCCTGTCATGGAATCCTCCCAGGGTCCCCCACGAGCTTTATCATAACACAGGGGACTATTATTATTATTTCAGTTGAGAACATGGAGATGCAGGAAGGAGTGTTACCCTCACAGAGGGTACACCTAGGAAGACAGTTACCCACAAATTTGGGCATCCTTGGCAGATTTAAGGTGACTGAGCTATAGCCATTTACTCCAGACTTCTCACTATCTTCCAGTTTACAGGAGGATGAGAAAGTGAACAGGGTGTCAATACTGGATGTCAGCTGTGCAGAAGCAGAACAAGCAAATTGCCTCCCAAAAGTCAGCATATGAGGCCCACGTGTTGGTGTTGAATTGTGTCCCCCGCCAAAACTCATATGCAAAATCTTAACTTCTGTGACCTCAGAATGAGCACTTATTTGGAAATAAAGCCATTGCAGACATTAAGGCCATACTTGAGTGACACGTGCTCTTTTCTTATCCGATATGGCATGTCTATAAAAAGGGAAAATTTGGGCACAGACACACAGAACACCGTGTGAAGGTTGGCAGTATGCTGCCACCAGCCAAGGAAATTCCAGAGACTGAGAGAGGCCTGGAACAGGTCCTTCCTGAGCATCTTAGAGAACTTGGCTCTGTGGACACTTGATTTCAGACTTCTGTTCTCCAAATATGTTGTGAAGCAGTTCTCCTTGTCATACTTCATTACAGAAACCCCACAGAAGTAACCCGTTGTTCCCATCCTTCACCACTCTGAGCCAGCTAACTTGGTGTTAAATCTTAAGGGAGCCAGCCCCAGTTGGGCGCATTCTAGAATGGTCCCTTTCATCTTCCTTCTATCCACCGCATCATGGTGCTGGACCCTCACTCACAGCCTGGGAAATCATCAGCTACTTTCATGTCTTTGAGACAGGCTAGGAAGAGGTTTACCAATGCAGGGGCCCTAGAGCGCTGGGCTCCGCAACACAGTGTCCCTTAGAGATCCCACGCCTGAGTGAGTGCGTTCTTCTCTCATTAGGAGGGAACACCCGAGACAAGAGGTTCAGTCTCAACTCTTCAAGCATCTCCCTTTATCATCTATATCTCTGGGATGATGAAGTAAACCCCACCCCACCCCACCCCCAAAAAAGGGCCTTTATGAGCCCATGTTCATCTCTCATTCTGAGGCAGGGTGAGCAGGAGATGCTGACACCTACCACACTCATTCTGTTTGACATAATGTATTCTTTCATTATGCCTGCATATCTGGCATTCTGCCTCCGGCATTCCTGTCCTTGTCAGTCCCCCACTGTGAGTTCTGATGAGGTTTTCATTACTGTGACAAGGATGGCCCATGCATGCACCAAGGATGGCCACTTTGGTGTGTGTCAGCTACCAGCTCAGAACCTGTAGATGCTTAAATGTAGACTGGAAAAACAGCAAAGACAGAAGAAGCCAGTGACAGGCTCAAAACAACAGCTACCCCATGTACCTTCCCTCACAACCCAGTCTGATTTGAACTTCTCACCTGCATGCTGATGGCCCGGAATGATTTCCTGGTGCATGCAACACACCCACAAGCCATGTCCTTTGATCCATTTTGGCCTCCAGATTTGGAGATACAAGTACACTGTGTTCAGAGCTCTCCACAAATTGGGCCAGGAGCTCAACAGGCTGATTTCTCTTACAGCTGTCTTGGGATCCAACATGTTAGAATCTAGATCAGTAAAAACATACTTGTCATCTGTGGCAACCTAAATCTTTGAAACCTCTTCTCATGTTTTGGTCATTTAAGTCCTCTCTTGCCAAGGCAGAAGTTAGAAAACTCACGTGTCTTGACTCCCTTGAAGTTAGGTTAAGTTACTGATCTGCTCCAACAGTCAGATTCACCAGTACAAGCTCTGAATTCAGAAGTGAGTGACATGCTCAGAGGATCCAACCTCAAAGTAAGGAATGGGATGGAGTTAGGTGATTCTTCTCACGGTAGCAGTGCAGAGGCTTTGGCGACCAAGGTTGTCATTATTTCTGCTACAGAAACTGTCATAGTAGCTGATCATAATTCTTCGTTCTTTATTCCTCTCCAAAATACTATAAAACATACACTCTTCTTTCATAAATCCCTCTCCAGCTTAAAGTCACAATTGCAACTAGGCAAGCTGGCCAATACAATCGGGAGAAAGGCTCAGAATCCAGGCTGAGGGCAGAGCATCAGGCAGCAGGGGTGCTGGCATTAGGAACAGGCAGAGAGCTTGAGGCTGTGGCCCTCGGTGCTCCCTCTTCTCTTGTCATGATGGCTATACCTCATTGTCCCCATCCTTTATCTTTGGAACTTTTTATTATACTACATTTATATACTTGGAGGGTGGGGGAACAGGACATGGTGCTTGAGTAGTAGTCAGAAGGCAACCTGTGGGAGTTGGGCCTCTTCCTCCACTGTGTGGGTCCCAGAGATCAAACTCAGATTGTCAGGCTCAGTGAGAAGCACCATTACCTGCTGGGCCATCTCACTAGCCCCTATCCTATACTCTTTTAAAAAATGAATTGTGTGTGTGTGTGGTGTGTGTGTGTGTGTGTGTGTGTGTGTGTGTGTGTGTGTGTGTGTGTGTTTTCCTTATATGTATGTAAGGCATTGGATCACATGGAACTGGAGTTACGGATGGCTATGAACCTGTGGGTGCTGGGAACTGAACTCAGTTCACCTGCAAGAGCAAAAAGTGCTGCTAACTGCTGAGCTCTCTCTCTATCCCCCCACACACACACACACACACACACACACACACACACTTACTTCACTCTTCTTTTTAAATAAAGTTTTATTTTTCTAACTGTACAGTGGGTTGAACCTGTTCATGCATCTTCAGCAGCTGGGACATCTCCACCCTTAGTGTTACTGAAGTAAATTACTTGGACTCTGAGCTTGACACATACTTTACTAAGTAGCTCCAGGAGGGCTGCCATGGCCAAAGAACCACAAACATTCAGTCTCTCAGAGACCACCACTGGAGTGATAAACTTATAGATGGGAACTTCCTTACAGTTTGTCATACATAGCTTTGTCAAAGGGGTTGGGATATTGAGCTTGTCATGAACTTTGTCTTTGGATCTCTTCATTTTGGCTTTACCCTCAAACTTGTTTACTGGGCCTTTGTCTTTCTTGGCCAACTTTTCAGCATCTTTCTTCTTGTCTCCTCTCCTAGGGTAGTATGGTGAAGTTCAGAGAGTGTCAGTAACCACTGCAGCCTTGCTATGATGCCAGACAAATGGCATATCAATTACACTTAAAGAGAAAGGCCAAGATAACTTTTTGGCCTGGAATTTAAGTGGTACTTTCCAATTCACAAGGCACTGTGATATTCTCATGGTCCCTCACAGCGACCTTTCTACTTAATAGGTTACCAAAAAAAAAAAAAAAAAAAAAAAAAACAAAAAAAAAAAAAAAAAAAAAAAAAAAAACAAAAAAAAAACCCACTCAGATGAGTGTGGTATTGCATGTTTTGCTTTTAATCCCAGAACTCAGGAGGCAGAGTTCTGTGACTTCGAGGCCAGCCTGGTCTACAAAGTGAGTTCCAGGACAGGCTCCAAAGCTATACAGAGAAACCCAGAAAAACAAAACAAACAAACAAAAAACCAAAACAACAACAACAACAAAGGTTCATGAAGTAAAAACAGCTTGCTCAAGATTCAAAACCTACAGGCAACACAGCCAAAGGAGCCCCCAGAGCTTTGGCATCAGATCTAACGTTTAACCCTAAATATCACAGCATGACACCACTCCCCTGCCATGTCTCAATGCCCTCTTGCAACCGCTAAACCTTGCAAGCCATGTGCAAAACTGAAATATATTACTCACTCCCCAGGTGATTTTTCAAGACTATCTTTCTATCAGAGGCTACAGAGGTGAGAAGTTAAGAATGAGATCCCCGGGGCCAAGTGGCCTGAGATCATAAACCAGCTTGGCCACTTGATAACTGCTTGAGCAAGTTATTTATCACTGTTCCTGGCACTCGGTTTCTCTAGCAGTGACAATGAGGTCGTTGAGAGGAAGAAGAGAGTTTGTCTGTGGATAGCACGTAGAACAGTGACTTGACACATAGTGGAGTTCAGGATAACATTAGCCAGACCAGTGCTGCTGTAACCCTAAGACACGCAAGTCTTCAGAGTCCTCAGATAAGCATGTGAAAGGATAGTGAAACAAATTCATGTTAGCTTATGGTAACACACAAGAGCTGTATGTTTAGGGCCACAACAAATCTGCCAATCATGCCAAACCCCCAAAGGTAGGGAGACCAAGAATGGCTTTGACCTCCCATCAGGTAGATTCTGACACTCTTTGGCCAATGAAGCAAACTTTGTTTCTTTTAATTTCCTAGGGGTTTGAACCCAGAGCTTCACACATGCTAGGACAGCACTCTACCACTGAATTGTACCCCAACACCAATAAACCAATCCTTGCATTGCCTATCCTAAATTTATACGGTGGGTATGGACTCATTGATTCCCAGATTATCCTTAGACTCTTATCAGAATTATCTCCCTGCTCCCCAGAGCATAGCAGTCAGGGCCAGTGGCTACTGAGTGGGTTCATGATCAGGCTTTCACAGATAAGGTGGCATTGAAGAAGGGTTCAGGCTCTGGAGTTAGAGATGTTGTCTTTTAATAGCACTTCAACACTTGGCACAGAACGGGTGTTCAATAACTGTCAATCTTATTTACCAGTTTTGTTACTCGGTGGTGGTTTATCTCAACATCCACACATGCCTGGCCTCGGCTGTGTGGCTTTGTGACACAAATCCAATGTCTGCACGTTACCTCTGTCTCTGAGGGTCATCTTTCCCAGCAGGACTCGCCTCCCAGACCAGCATGTCTGACACGTTTACGTTACCATGACATGCCAAGAGGGATATCCTTGTGCCGTCATGCTCTTCTGTCCCCCCTGAACTAGCAGCTTGCTTGAGTTTTGAGGAAACAGGTGGGAGAGGAGACTGAGACAACCTGACAGACTTCCTGCCCTTGGGTTCTCCCCTGTACCACATTCAAGGGTGTTTTCAAGGAAGGAAAAGGGGTGGACTAGAAAGAGAAAGATCTTGGCCAGAAGCTGGGGAATGGTGCAGACCTTTGCCCTCTGCAGCCAAGAAAACAGCAAGAGGTCCCCCCATGGCATAAAGGGAAAAGAGTCAAGTCAGGGAGCCCTGTCAAACCCACAGGACAGGAGCCAAGTCCAGACCACAAATCTACCTATACTCCACGCCACATGTTGGGTATACATTTGATTACAGTCAATGAGCAAACACTGTTTCATTATGAAGCATCTACAGCAAGTACCATGAAGGAAAAGCCCAGTAAGACAGGAGATTTAAGTGGCAGGACTGGGGCCATCCTCTTTAAGGTGACAATTAAGCAATGACCTGAAGGATATGCCACCAGGGAACATTCGAAAAGATTGACACCTGAAGAGGACAGGCCTTTTATAAGGCCTAAGAGACAATATGGCTTAAGAAAGACAGCAAAGATCCTGTCTGTAGACAAAGGGTCCAAGTGAGACCACCTTAGTAACCTACCCCATCTTCCTCACCCGTAAAATGCAGATCTTCCCCAGGGCAGTCATAATAACATCAACTTTGTACACAGACCCACACAAAGTATGTCCTTAAACACAGTCATTACGCAATTCATGTTGGTTCAGACCCATAATCCCAGTACTCAGAAGGCTGAGACAGGAGGCTCTCAAGTTCATGACCAGCCAGAGTTACATAACCAGACCCTGAAAAAGAAGCATATCTGATTTCTTCCTGCATCCCTCCCCTGCACAGGGCCAGGAACCTCTGAAGTGTTCAGTAAATATTTGTGGAGTTGAAAGCAAGTGCACAAGTAATTATAGTAACTAATAAACTAAAGAATGTTTTCTGCGGAGGCCAGAGAAGTCAGTAAGTACAAAATGATCAAATGACAAAAGGATAGGCCAGGGCAAAAAACATGCCCTGACTCACACTGTATCCACAAGTGTCTGAGTTTCCTCCAAGGCATGCCAGGGAAACGTCCACTCATAAACACATGGGCAATAAGATGCAAGCATCCACTCTTCCAATTACAGAAGACATTCCTAGGCTCCTGGGTGCTGTGGAATATTATTTTAACTGGGCAAAGATGTTTTTTATTTGTTTATGCTGCAGAATATTTAGCTATGTAAAGATGTGTTACATCTGTTTATGCTGTGGAATATTACTTTAACTGTGTAAAGGTGTGTTACATTTGTTTCTTCTGCATTTGTTTAATTATGTAAAGATGTGTTGCTGTCTCATCTTGCCTGCCTAAGGCACCTGATTGGTCTAATAAGAAGCTGAATGGCCAATAGCAAGACAGAAGAAGGACAGATGGGGCTGGTGGGCAGAGAGAATAAGGAGGAGAGATCTAGGCTCAAAGAATGAGAGGAGAGAGGAGGGAGACAGTGAGGGAGATGCCTGGGGCCAGCCAGGCAGCCACCAGACAGTAGACACAGAGTAGGACAAACAGAAAGAAAGGTAAAGAGCTCAGAGGCAAAACACAGATGAAGAGCAACAGGTTAAGTTATAAGAGCTGGCAAGAAACAAGCCTGAACTACGCCAAGCATTCCTAACTAATAAAAAGTCACCATGTCATGATTTGGGAGCTGTTTGGTATCCCTAGAGAAAAAGCCTGCTACACCTGAGTGACAACTAGCAGGTAGGTTTTATAGCTCACATTTATTGAATGCACTAAGGTTTGTTTGTACAGTACTTCCAAGTATGTTCTACACCTCTGTGAAGTAGGTAGTTTATTTGTTAGTCTCAGTTCCACACTGCAGATGAGCAAGCAAGGAGAAGTTATTTGTCTACAGCTAAGCAGTGAATCATAAAACTACGGCATAGTTCTAAATCCTGTGTTTTTGCCACACCACACTAACCCTTGTAGATGGATTAAAAATACTGCTTGCACTCAGGTAGGTAAAGCACCATACACAGAATCATGACTGAAGTTCTAGCTGCAGCTAAGTCACCAGGGCAGTCTTGCCAATCTAGGACCACCTCCTGTAGAGATGGGTTCTTTAGCTGGCTGGTCCTACGAATCATTTGTACTACTGTTTGTTCATCAACCCCATAAGGCCTACAATAAAGTTCAAATAAATTTTGGGTCTATAATTTGGAGGATTTTAATTTTCTTTTTAAAAAATTAACCCCTTGCTGGGCCGTGATGGCACACACCTTTAATTCCAGCACTCAAGAGGCAGAGGCAGGAGGATCTCTAGTTCAAGACCAGCTTGGTCTACAGAGCGAGTTCTAGGGCAGCCAGGGCTACATAGAGGAACCCTGTCTTGAAAATAAATAAATGGGAAGGAAGAGAAGGGAAAGAGAAGGGAAGGGAAGGGGAAAGGGGGAAGAGGGAAGAGGAAAGGGGCAAGGGGGAAGGGGAAAGGGAGAAGGGGGAAGGGGAAAGGGGAAAGGGGAAGGGGAAGGAAGGGAAGAAAATAGTAACCCATCTCCCCTTCCCTACCCCTTTTTTATCCCTTTTATGGAAGATGCAGTGCAGTGCAGTGGTTGTTTCAGCGTCTTCTCTCCACTGCTTTTCAGGAGCCACCAGGCCTCCACTGGGTGTTCTTCATGCCAGCCTAAGGCCAGACAGAGGCCAGCCAATCAAAAAACACTTGCTGGGCAGGCAGAGTGTGGGCGCATACTGAATGGAACCAATTGATCTCTGGGGACAGCCCAGAGCATGTGAGGCAAGTGCAATCACCTTACTCAGAGCAGGATAGGCTCTGGGGAGGAGATGCAGCAACCTGGGGCCCTGCTTTCTGGTGAGGCACAAAGCTAAAGGATGAAACACCTCCTTAAGTGGTGATGGCCTCAGGCTTGATAATCTGTCTTCTGGGTCACAAAAGCAAGAGCAGCCTTCCACAAGGCTGCCAAGGGCTGTCATTGTTAACAAAGATGTTCCCAGACACTAGAAGCACAAAGAATTGGAAGATGTTTCTCTTGACTCCCTGACTCCCCAGGCTCACACTTCATTGCACATCCGCCTAAAAGCCTGGAGATTCTTCTGTCCCATCTGCACTGTGACCTGTTTCTGGAAACACACTTGCTAGGAGACCTAGGCAAAAAGGTGGCTTTGGGCCAGAAGCTGGGCAGGCCTTCCTCAGGTTCTTGCTTCTAGACAGGCGTGAAGTCGTGGATGGGAAGATGTTATGCACACGGCTGAGA